GGGTTTGGGGGTGTTTGGGGACGTTTCGGGGCTGTTCTGTTCTCTTCCTGCCCCTTTGCAGCCAGTTCAGGTGTTTCTGGGCCAGTTGGCAGCCCTTTGGGGCCGTTTTGAGGGAGTTTTGGTGGCCACCTGAGGCCAGTTGGGGACCACTTAGGGGCCATTCTGAGCCTTTTTTTTTATTATTCTGGAGCAGTTCCCACCATTTGGGGAAGATTTTCAGCTGGTTTCTGGCCAAGCTGGGCCAGGTTGTTGCCCTTTGGGCCATTTTGGGCCGTTTTGAGGCCTTTCTGGTCGAGTTTGTAACCCTTTTGGGCCATTTTCAGGGGATTTTGGGCCACCTGGTGGCCCTATAGGGCCAGTTGGTGGCCATTTAGGGGCCACTCTGAGCCTTTTTTTGATCATTCTGGAGCAGTTTCCACCATTTGGGGAAGATTATCAGTTGGTTTCTGGCCAAGCTGAGCCAGGTTGTTGCCTTTCCGGGCCATTTTGGGTCAGTTTGAGGCCTTTCTGGACCAGTTTGTAACCCTTTTGGGCCATTTTGAGGGAATTTTGGGCCATCTTGTGGCCATTTAAGGGCAATTGGGGGCCATTTTGGGCCACTCTGAGCCATTTTTGCTCATTCTGTATCAGTTTCCACCATTTTGGGAAGTTTTTCAGCTGGCTTCTGGCCAAGCTGAGCCAGGTTGTTGCCCTTTGGGCTGTTTTGGGCCTGTTTGCAGTAGTTTTAGGCCATTTTGCAGCCCCTCTGGGCCAGTTGGTGGCCATTTTGTGGATGTTTTTGTCACTCTGGGCCATGTTATGGCTGTTCTGTGTCATTTTGCAGCCATTTTATGGGCATTTTTGTCACTTTTGGCCACGTCATGGCTGTCCTGAGCCAGTTTGCAGCCATTTTGTAGCCATTTTGTGGCTATTCTTGTTACTTTGCGCCATTTTATGGGTATTTTGCATCAGTTTGTAGCTATGTTGTGCCATTTTGTCACCATTTTTGTCACTTTCAGCCATGTTATGGCCATCCTGGGCCAGTGTGTAGACATTTTGGGCCATTTTGTGGTCCCTTTGGGTCATGTTATGGTCATTTTGGGACAGTTTGTAGCCATTTGGGAGCATTTTGGGCCACCTTGTGGCCACTCTAGGCCACTTTGAGGCCCTTCTGGGTGAGTTTGCAGCCATTTGGGGCTGATCTGTGGCCATTTTGGGTCATTCTGGATCAGTTTCCACCTGTTTGGGAAGACATTCAGCTGCTTTCTGACCAGTCTGGGTCAGGTTGTTCCCTTTTGGGCTGTTTTGGGCCTGTTTGGAGCTGGTTTGGGCCATTTTGCACCCATTCTGGGCCAGTTAGTGGCCATTTTGGGCCACTTGTGGCCATTTTAAGGCCATTCTGGATGAATTTGCAGCCATTTTGGGGCTGATTTATGGCCATTTTTGGATGTTCTGGACCTGTTACAGCCCTTTTGTCACTTTGTGGACCTTCAAGGCCAGTTTGTTGTCCTTCTGGACCAGTTTGTGGATAGTCCAGGCCATTTTGGGGACATTTTGAAGCACCTTGCAGCCATTCTGGGCCACTTGGCAGCTATTTTGGGGCCACTCCACATCATTTTGAGGCCACTCTGAATGAGTTTGCAGCCATTTGGGGATGATTTGTGGTCATATTTGATCATTCTGGATCAGTTTGTAGCTGTTTTCTGCCAATTTGTGCCATGTTGGGAAGATTTTCAGCTGGTTTGTTGCCCTTCTAGGCCATTCTGGTCCAGTTTGCAGCCTTTTTGGTCCAGTTTGGACTATATTGTGGCCACTCCAGAGGAGTTTATTGCCCTTCTGGACCAGTTTGTCACTATTCTGGGCCAGTCTGACATTATTTTGGGCCACTTTATGGCCATTTTAAGGCATTTTGGGCCACCTTGTGGCCATTCTGGACCAGTTGGTGGCCATTTAGGGCCACTCTGGGCCAGTTTGGGGCCATTCTGGACTGGTTTGCAGCCACTCTGGGCCATTTTATTGCTCTTCAGGGCCGGTTTGTGTCCACTTTGCAGCCATTTGGGGCTGGTTTGCAGCCATTTTAGTGCAGTTTCTGGACACTCTGTGCCAGTTTCTTGCCTTTCTGTACCAGTTCATGGCAAGTTTAGGCCATTTTGAGGCCATTTTAGGTTGGTTTGCAGCCATTTGTGTCCAATTTGCACCATTTTCAGTTGGTTTTCAGCTGGTTTGTGGCCATTTCAGACTAGTGTGCAGTGATGTTCACCCATGTTGGGCCTGTTTGCTGCCATTTGGGGACATTTTGAGGCCATTCTGAATGGGTTTGCAGCCATTTTGTGCCAGTTTGTGGCAATGTTTGGTCATTCTAAACCATTTTTTGTCCATTTGGGGGCAGTTTTTAGCCATTTTGAGGCCATTCTGGGCCAGTTTGCAGCCATTTTGAACCAATTTGCAGCCATTTTGCAACCACTCCAGTTTTGGCTCTTCTGAGCCAGTTTTATACTATTCTGTGACATTCAGGACCAGTTAGCAGCCATTTTGGGCTGCTTTGGGCCAGTTTGTGGCCAATTTGGGCCATATTGAGGCCATTTGTGCCCATTTTTGGTCATTTGAGACCAGATTGTGGACAACTTGTGCCAGTTTGCAGCTATTCTGGGTCAGTTTGATACAATTTTGGGCTTTTTAGGGGCCATTTATGGCCATTTTTGGTCATTCAGAACCAGTCTGTGGCCATTCTGGGCCAGTTTTTGGCCAGTTTGCAGCCATTTTCGGGCCAATTGCAGCCTTTTTTCATAATTTGGGACCTATTGGGGACCATTTGCAGCCATTTTTGGTAATTTGGGATCAGTTTGTGGCCATTTTGGACCAGTTTGCACACATTTTAGGCCAGGTTGCAGATATTGCAGGCTGGTTTGGGCTAGTTTATGGCCATTTTGGGGCTCTTTGTGAACATTTTTGGTACCTGAGGACCACTTTGCAGCTCTTTTGGGTCAGGCTGCAGATATTCCAAGTTGGTTTGGGGGCATTTGAGGACATTTTTTCTCTTTCAGGACCAGTTTGTGGCCATTTTTGGCCATTTTGCAGCAATTCTGAGCTAGTTTGGAACAGTTTGCAGCCATTCTGGGCCAGTTTACGGCCATTTTAGGCCATTTTGAGGCTGTTTGTGGCCTTTTTTGGTCATTCAGGACCACTTTGTGGCCATTTTGAAACAATTTATGACCAGTGTGGGCTATTTTGAGGCCATTTGTGGCCACTTTTGGCCATTTGGATCCAGTTTTTGGCCATTTTGGGCCAATTAATGGCAATTTTTTGCCTCCTTGGTTTAGTTTTAAGCGCAGTGGGAGGAGCCAGGAGTTGGTCCCCATGATCCTCCCAGATCTCTTTCCAACTTGGGATGTTCTGTCGTTCTCCAAACTTACCAAGAGCCACCAAGCTGGTGAAAGGTCTGGAGAACAAGCCTAGTGAGGAGAGACTGAGGGAACTGGGATTGTTTAGTTTGAGGAAGAGAAGGGTGAAGGGGAGACCTCATTGCTCCACATTGCTCCAAAACTACCTGAAAGGAGGTTGTAGGGGAGTGGGAGTTGGGCTCTTCTCTCAAGTGAACAGTGTCAGGACCAGAGGAAATGGCCTGAGGCTGCACCAGGAGAGGTTTACACTGGATATTAGAAAGAATTTCTTTACCCAAAGAGTAGTTGGACAGTGGAACAGGGAGGTGGTGGAGGCACCATCCCTGGGAGTGTCCAAAAGAACTACAGATGTGGTGCTGAGGGACGTGATTTCAGCACTGAACGGGTAAGTCAGGTCATGGTAGGGGATTTAGGTTATGGTTGGACTTGGTGATCTTCAAGGTCCCTTCTGACCAGGATGATTCTGTGATTGAACCCCTCTGAACGAACACCTCGAATCTTTTCCCCCCCTAGTGGAGCCCGGCGGGGTGAACAAAGTGGAGCAGCCTGAGGAGAAGGCTGGGGCAGCTGCTGGTTCCCTGGAGCTCTATCCCGCCGGCAGCTCCGGCCGCTGGTTCCACGCCGGGCAGCGCCCGCCGGACCGCCCGGCCACGGAGAGGGACGTCCCCACCAGCGTGGGCAGGGTGTCCTGCTGGGTCCCCCAGCTGGGCTCGGGGCCCTTCCGCTGCGCCCAGTGCGGGAAGGGCTTCCGGCAGAAGCAGAGCCTGATCACCCACGAGCGGATCCACACCGGGGAGAAGCCCTATCGCTGCGGGGACTGCGGGAAGAGCTTCAGCCAGCGCCCCAACCTCATCACCCACCGCCGCGTCCACACGGGCGAGAGGCCTTTCCCCTGCACCCAGTGTGGCAAGAGCTTCAGCCAGAAGGCCAACCTGCTGGCCCACCAGCGCATCCACGCCGCCAGCGACAAGGCCCTGGCTGGGGGAGAGCAGGGGGACGGCACCCCCGGCAAAGCCAAGCTGCGTTCCCAGCCCCGGGGTTACCCCGAGGACACCCCTTTTGTCTGCCCGGAGTGTGGGAAGAGCTTCCGACAGAAACCCAACCTCATCACCCACCGGCGCATCCACACGGGCGAGCGGCCCTTCACCTGCTTCCTCTGCGGCCGCAGCTTCAACCAAAAGACCAACCTGGTCACCCACTACCGCGTGCACACCGGCGAGCGGCCCTTCGCCTGCGCCCAGTGCGGGAAACGCTTCACCCAAAAAACCAACCTGGTCACCCACCAGAGCACCCACACCGACCTCCGCCCCTACCCCTGCCCTCAGTGCCAGAAGTGCTTCAAGGACAAGGTGTCCCTCAAAGCCCACCAGAAGACCCACGCCCCGCGCCAGCGGCGCTGTCCCGGTCGCAGCCCGGCCATCTGTCACCCCTACGGGGCTGCGCCCACCCTGCTCCAACCAGGGGGTCCTGAGGTGGAGACCCCTTTCCCCACGGTGCCGCCGCTGCCCCTCCAGAAGATGCCAGAGGGGCAGGAGCTGTACCCCTGTGCCGAGAAGAGCTTCACCCCCGCCAAGGAGCCGCTGCTGCCGCCCCACGGCGCGCA